AGTATTATGTGTTGTGACTCCAAGAATGCTGCGAAGAGCTGGAGGAGACTTGTGGGCTTTCAACACATAGTATAGGTAAGGCAGGGTATCAGTGTGGGTATAACCCCAATTGTGATTCCATAGTGCATGGTGGTTGAGCACATCAGCAACGGATTCATGAGGACGAGTATAAGTGGGACTGTCCAAATGGGTAGAGAGGTGAAACAAATACCAATTCTTGCAACAAATTGCCAAATTGTGGGATGATTTGTCCACAGGGACAATGGCAAAGTGTTGTTGCAAATGGCGTAAGGAGGCATGTGCACAACGAAGTGAATGTTGTTGGCTCACATGATTGGAAGACGAAGTCGCATTGGATTGACAATGCCCAAGGATTGCAGAACGCCAGCTGTGCAATTTCTGAGAAAGGGACGAGAAAGAAGCAGATCGAGAGTGCCTAGCAAATGTATTCTTGTTACTGGCAATCTACTCATCGAGTCCGATCGCTAGTGCTTGGAGCACATCAGCAGTCTCCCCGTTCAAACGATATTTAGAACCTTCTTGAAAAAGCCTGCGAAGGTTATCGTCTGAGATGATATTGTAATCAACAGAGACAACACGGCCGTCCACAAGATCTGAACAATGCGGAAAGGCCCTGCGGCATTCGCAGTTCAAGGAGTCTGGTAAGGTCATGTCATATACATATATATATATATATATTATATTTATATTAGTGGGTTTTTCCAAAGTTTGTGACCATATAAAAATATATATAATATACTCTTGATTGTCAGTACCGACTGTGCGGATTTGGATAGTCTACAAATCATTGCTCCTCTCCTTTCTTACCTATTGTTGCTCCTCTTTCCAATTCCCTGATATTCATATTCTCTCTTCACATTTGCGTATGTGCTCCCATCCCGTCCTTCTCCCCTTTCATACCTTCACTCTCACTTCTCCTTTCGCTTGTCTACCTTGGTGCTCTTCTCCATAGGAAGTGGTACATGAGGCGACAATAGATTGGCAAAGATTTTGGGATTCACTTTCTTTATCCACTCGGTTTCCTCAAATTAAGAAGGTTGGGTGAGCAAAGTCGTAACATTGTCAATGGCCTTCTGGAAACGTCTGGTCCATCATTTGGAGGAATATTTACAAGTCATCAAGTAACCGTATGAAGACCAAATGTTTACTAGTCATAGCATTGCAGCAAGCAAAGAACTCGAAAGGAAAGAACAAAAGATAGGACTCAAGGTACCGTGTTGTTCAATGTGTGTATATGTGGCTGGTGGAAGCAACTAACCTGTCCGGGGTTGGCATTGTTAGCTTTGTTTGAAGCATCAAACCCTCCTTGGCAGTCAGGGACGAAGGACCAGAACCCTCAACAGCATGTTGGAAGATTCCAAGGAGCTCAACGAAACTCGGTCTTTCTCTCCAAGAATATCTGAAGCATTTCTCCAATGCGCTCGCAACTTCAATTGGCAGCCCAACGGGTATCTCTGGCTTCTTCTCAAGGTCAACAACATGAGTGCGAATGGAATACGTATCGGGAAGATGACTCCACGGTGGCTTACCGACAAACATGTCGATCACAGAGCATGCAAAACTCCATGCATCTGTCTCCTTATGCAGTGAATCTGGCCCCCATGCTTCTGGAGCCATGTAAACTGGCGTGCCAGCTATTTCCATGCACTTCGTATTGTTGCCGATGCCACGAGGGTGGAGGAACTTGGAAAGACCGAAGTCTGCAATCACTGAACATCCTCCAGCAACACAGAAAAGACGCCTCCAGTTAGAACTGAGAACAAGAGGAACAAGCACAGTGCAAATAAAAAAGAGAGAGATTATCTACCCAACTGTTTGTTCTCCAATAGTGCATACACATTCCTTTGATTGTGCCATTGTAGCTTTCTAAATCCATTATATATTGTCACATAACTGTGAACTAAATGAGCGCACTTTGCAAAACAAAGGGTAAAGATTAAAAAAAACCAAGACAAACATGAGGGGAAAACTGAAACCATTCATTTTTCTCATTCTTCTTTTAACTCCCCTTTCACCTATGAGGCTCGCCACGTTGATGAAGTTGACCGCGGGCTGCCCACATCCCCGTGTTTGTCTTCTCTTCATCTCTCTTCCCTGTGTTTATCACATCCCCGTTTACTCTGCCTCTTTCTCACAGCGTACAAGTGGGCCGTTATGGCATATAGAGATGCGGGAAGCTCACGCTCAACTTCACCAACGTGGCGAGCCTTGTACGTGAGAGGCACGGTGAAGGGGCAATTAAAAGAAGAATGAGAAAAATGAATGGTTTTAGTGTGCCCTCCATTTGTTTCTTGTTTCTTAATCTTTATCGTTTGTTTCACAAGGTGTGCTCTTTTGGTTCATAGTTATGTGACTATATATATATAATACATATGACAATATATATCGATACATATCTCTCTGCCTGTGGTTTACCGGGCAGCTCTGACGATATATATATCGTTAAACAGAGCTGCATGGTAAGCCGTAGGCAGAGAGGGAGAAAAGGACAACAAACGAGGTGTTGTGACAAACTGTTTCGTCGGAGTTTCACCAACTCATCAGGAGGACGATATATATATATATATATCGTCATATATATATATATATCGTCACAAACAGAACTGCCCGGTAAACCGTAGGCAGAGAGAGAGAAGAGGACAACAAACGAGGGGCTG